AAGATGAAACGGCGGCCATGACGTCGTGCGAACGGCACAACATGGACTGCCAAGATGTTGTCCCGGTAGTACTGGCCTGTAACACGCCCTGCAACAACATGTAAAGCCGTTCTTCCAGCAACAGTGATGCCTCCCCACACCATAACAGAACCACCCCCAAATCGATCATGTCTGATGACGTTAACGTCTTGGAAGCGCTCGTTTTGACAACGCCACACCCTCCTACGTCTGTCCAAAAAATCAACAGTGAACCTTGACTCATCTGAAAACATCACATTGCTCCAGCGTCGATTATCCCAGTGTTGACGATCCCTACACCAACGACGTCTTGCCTGAATGTGATGATCTCTCAAACAAGGGATCACGCGAGGACATCAGGCGCGAAGGTGACCCCTATGCAGTCGATTCCGAATCGTCTGGCCACTCACTCTCACACCAGTGTCTGTTTGAAGACGAGCGCTGATCTGATTTGCTGTGATGACACGATTTCTCAAGGCCAAGGTACGGATAAATCGATCCTGGGCTTGAGTTGTCGCCCTTGGTCGACCTGAGCGTGGTCTGTCCTGTACAGATTGTGTATCACGGTATCTGGACCATAGCCTGCTTATGACAGACTGAGAAACATTCATCGTCCGCGCCACAACCGCCTGTGTTGTGCCGATCTGTAGCATGCCAAGGGCACGTAACCTTTCATTTTGGGTAAGCCGACGCATATCAAAATTTGTTTTCTGGTCACTAAAACAATTAAACTGATGTTTCCACCCTGGAATTCAATGCCACAATGACTGTAACATTCAAAGTCAGAGTCGTGCAAATCTTGGGTTGGACCCCCATGATGATCCCAAGCATCACCTGCATTCCATGCGGTAGCTATTGGTGCGTTTGGGCGTCACATGTAACTGGAAATGTTTCTTCTGTTAGGTTCTATAGTGACTTTTTTCGTAGTCATTTGCATATTTTAGTATTATGCCCCCAAAATCAAATATCCCCTACTTTTTTTGAATAGTATATATACATATGGTGGTTGGATCAGGAGATATCTAACTAAAGATGTTCTCCCTAGGTCACAGAAAACCCAACTGCCCTTTGACTCTCAATACCAATCTTTAATAACGTAGTGTCATCTCTGCCGCCTGAATCCTGATTGGTTTACAGGTTACATAAACAATTAAACTGATTGGCTAACTCGTAGTCCTTGACCGGAAAAGCCTCAGGCCAACCACTATACCAATCAACAAACGAAATGATGTACTTATTGCCAGATAGGGAAATTGGATAAGGGCCTGATAAGTCTAACGACAACTTTGCAAAGGGGTATGGAGGGATGTCAGTTTCCTGCAGAGTGGGCTTGGCTTTACGAAGTGACCTGGTTTGACACGGGACGCATGCAGACACATACGTATAAATCTGGTTATACAGGTTAGGCCAATAATACTTTTGTGCAACCATACTGTAGGTTTTGAAGATATTTCGATTTAGTTTTTCTAATCATAGTTTTTAAACTATTGCGACATCTTTTAAATTCTGTTACATTTTTGCTTCTCTTATGAAAATCGCGTTCTTTCATTAGTCTTAATATTTCATTTGTAAGCCATTGTGGTTTTACAGCTGTTTTAACCCGTCTAGTTCTTATGGGGGCGTGTTGATTAATTATTGGGGTAACAAGATTATACCAAGCTGTAAGATCGTCTTGGGGGTTATTTGCAAAATAGACTTCATCGAAATTAATTTTACTTATATCGCGAATATAGTTTTCGTCACTGAAATTTCTGAAAGATCTATAAGATACATAAATATGGTTAGTTTTAGGAATTTTTACACCTTTCTTTGACCATGTAATACATGTGGGGAAATGGTCAGAGTATGTAACATAACACATTACTCTTTTTATTAAACAGATGTTTGACACGGGACGCATGCAGACACATACGTATAAATCTGTTTATACAGGTTAGGCCAATAATACTTTTGTGCAACCATACTGTAGGTTTTGAAGATATTTCGATTTAGTTTTTCTAATCATGGTTTTTAAACTATTGCGACATCTTTTAAATTCTGTTACATTTTTGCTTCTCTTATGAAAATCGCGTTCTTACATTAGTCTTAATATTTCATTTGTAAGCCATTGTGGTTTTACAGCTGTTTTAACCCGTCTAGTTCTTATGGGGGCGTGTTGATTAATTATTGGGGTAACAAGATTATACCAAGCTGTAAGAGCGTCTTGGGGGTTATTTGCAAAATAGACTTCATCGAAATTAATTTTACTTATATCGCGAATATAGTTTTCGTCACTGAAATTTCTGAAAGATCTATAAGATACATAAATATGGTTAGTTTTAGGAATTTTTACACCTTTCTTTGACCATGTAATACATGTGGGGAAATGGTCAGAGTATGTAACATAACACATTACTCTTTTTATTAAACAGATGTTTTATTACTGCATAATATATACTATTCAAAAAAAGTAGGGGATATTTGATTTTTAAGTGTTATTAAAGTCACCTAATGAAACTGACGAAGAAACAAATGACAAAATGAAATGAAGTTAACATTCATCGATTTATTCCAAATGATCGTTAGACTAAGTAAGGCACAGACTGACCATTATAAGGGTAAAATGATACCCGGGGTCAAACAGCAAAGTTACCACAGCATCACAACCAAGTCAGTAACGGGTAAATCCTCCTCTGTTTGCCAAACAAGCATTGATCCGACGTGGCATACTCCTAATGAGACGTCTAAGGTCATTTTGGTCCAGATTGTCCCATTCCTGTTGCAACGCAGCAGCAAGTTCTTGGACATTGGCAGGACGTTTATGACGTTGACTTAACCTCTGTCCAAGCATGTCCCAGACATGCTCGATGGGGGAGAGGTCGGGACTCAGTGCTGGCCAAGGTAATGTGGTGATGTTCTGTTGTTGGAGGTAACCTGTAACGATCCTGGCCCTGTGACATCTTGCGTTGTCATCCTGGAAGATGAAACGGCGGCCATGACGTCGTGCGAACGGCACAACATGGACTGCCAAGATGTTGTCCCGGTAGTACTGGCCTGTAACACGCCCTGCAACAACATGTAAAGCCGTTCTTCCAGCAACAGTGATGCCTCCCCACACCATAACAGAACCACCCCCAAATCGATCATGTCTGATGACGTTAACGTCTTGGAAGCGCTCGTTTCGACGACGCCACACCCTCCTACGTCTGTCCAAAAAATTAACAATGAACCTTGACTCATCTGAAAACATCACATTGCTCCAGCGTCGATTATCCCAGTGTTGACGATCCCTACACCAACGACGTCTTGCCTGAATGTGATGATCTCTCATACAAGGGATCACGCGAGGACGTCGGGCGCGAAGGTGACCCCTATGCAGTCGATTCCGAATCGTCTGGCCACTCACTCTCACACCAGTGTCTGTTTGAAGACGAGCGCTGATCTGATTTGCTGTGATGACACGATTTCTCAAGGCCAAGGTACGGATAAATCGATCCTGGGCTTGAGTTGTCGCCCCTGGTCGACCTGAGCGTGGTCTGTCCCGTACAGATTGTGTATCACGGTATCTGGACCATAGCCTGCTTATGACAGACTGAGAAACATTCATCGTCCGCGCCACAACCGCCTGTGTTGTGCCGATCTGTAGCATGCCAAGGGCACGTAACCTTTCATTTTGGGTAAGCCGACGCATATCAAAATTTGTTTTCTGGTCACTAAAACAATTAAACTGATGTTTCCACCCTGGAATTCAATGCCACAATGACTGTAACATTCAAAGTCAGAGTCGTGCAAATCTTGGGTTGGACCCCCATGATGATCCCAAGCATCACCTGCATTCCATGCGGTAGCTATTGGTGCGTTTGGGCGTCACATGTAACTGGAAATGTTTCTTCTGTTAGGTTCTATAGTGACTTTTTTCGTAGTCATTTGCATATTTTAGTATTATGCCCCCAAAATCAAATATCCCCTACTTTTTTTGAATAGTATATATACATATGGTGGTTGGATCAGGAGATATCTAACTAAAGATGTTCTCCCTAGGTCACAGAAAACCCAACTGCCCTTTGACTCTCAATACCAATCTTAAATAACGTAGTGTCATCTCTGCCGCCTGAATCCTGATTGGTTTACAGGTTACATAAACAATTAAACTGATTGGCTAACTCGTAGTCCTTGACCGGAAAAGCCTCAGGCCAACCACTATACCAATCAACAAACGAAATGATGTACTTATTGCCAGATAGGGAAATTGGATAAGGGCCTGATAAGTCTAACAACAACTTTGCAAAGGGGTATGGAGGGATGTCAGTTTCCTGCAGAGTGGGCTTGGCTTTACGAAGTGACCTGGTTTGACACGGGACGTATGCAGACACATACGTATAAATCTGTTTATACAGGTTAGGCCAATAATACTTTTGTGCAACCATACTGTAGGTCTTATCAATACCAAGATGAAACAAATTGTGATATTGTTGTAAGACTTCAGCTTGCAGATGAACCGGTACATATAATCGGGGATTAGGTTCGCTGTCGACATGAGAAACATAGTACAGAACATGATTTATAATTAGATATTTCTTGAAATTTGCTGATTTATGATCGTTCTTAGTCAACTGAGAGATAATTTTACTAATTTGTTTGTCTTTCGATTGCTCCTCAATAATATAACCGGCTATAGATATATCCGTCGTAGTTTGGGACTCGGGCTCAATCTCGCATTTTGCATATTCGTTGGGGTCAAATCGATTGGAATTAAGAGCATTTATTTCTAATGCATTTTCTACAAGTTGTAATTCCTGGTGATCCTCAGTAACAGCAGACTTTTGCGACATGCGACTTAAGAAATCGGCAATAATATTTAGTTTGCCGGGGAGATATTCGATTTTACAATTGTAGTTGGTCATATTTAAGGCCCAAAGTTGTATTTTCTTGTTTTGCATAGGCGAATCAAAGATATACTTGAGGGGTTTGTGATCAGTCCTAATGACAAAATTTGCGTCGTGTAGATAATAGTCGAATTTCTACAAAGCGTAATGTATTGCATAACACTCCTTTTCGATGGTGGACCACCGTGTTTGAGTGTCAGACAATTTATGAGAGAGTAAATACATGGGAGCTTCGATTTCTTCGCCATGATTATTTGATATGTTTTGCACAAGACATGCGCCTATTGTAGAATCGCTAGCATCGGTATACAGAACATATGGCTTATTGCGATCTGGATATATTAGCAAGGGAATACTGGCTAGCTGATCTTTAAGTTTCTTAAAAGCTAGTCTACATTCTGCATGAAAATTCAATTTAACTTTCTTTCTAGTTAAGGCGATAAGAGGTTCGGCGATCTTAGAAAAGTCAGGGATAAAACGGCGGTAATAACCACACATTCCTATAAAGCTCCGAACACCTTTTACAGATCTAGGTTCAGCCAAAGAATTTATCGCCTGTACTTTCTCTGGGTCAGGCTTAATTCCGTGTTCCGAAATGATAAAACCAAGATAATTGGTTTCTTTTTGAAGAAAATTGCATTTAGAAAGTTTGAGTTTTAAATTATGTTCTCTTAGACGATGAAATACTTGATCAATATGGGAAATGTGTTCATCATAGGATGAAGAAAAGATAAGAATATCATCAAGATAAGCAATTGCAAAAGCGTTGAGATCTTTTAGTACAACTTGCATCAAATTTTGAAAAATTCCTGGGGCATTGACGATCCCGAAAGGCATGGTATTGAATTCGAATAACCCTCTATGACAAATAAAAGCAGTTTTTTCACGATCTTGTTCATCCATTAATATTTGCCAATAGCCAGATTTTAAATCAAGGGTTGTAAAGTATTGCTTATTGTGAAGTTGTGCCAAAATGTTATCAATTCGGCGAAGAGGATAAGAATTATATTTCGTCATATCACTTCCGGTCATAAATGAGAGTGTAGCACGTGCCGCAGATTGTCATTGTAGCGTTTACACTTGAACGAAGAAGACGTGGTCTTCTATTTGCCGCACTAAGTCTTTTCTCAGTTGTTCAAGGCTTTATACTAAGTCATTTATTTGTTTTTTGTCTGCCGCATTGATTTTCTTTCTTGAAAGAAATAAATATTTTTTCTTTTACGACTATCGTAAACTTGCACGAGTCGCGGACTCGTTTGTGGCAAGATGGCGGACGACAAACAGAAAAAGAACTTGAGAAGCTCGTCGGTTGGTAAAGTTGATTTGGGATGGGAAGATTTAAACCCAGCCTTATTAGAGGATAGTACCGATGTTTATATGGAATTTTCTACCCAAAAATCTAAGGAGAAATGTGATAAAACTCCGGTAATGGCGAGTCAGCTGACGAAGTCAAAAATCGCCTCGACTTTAGCTTCACCTTTACCGTCAACTTCTGGTTCTAAACTGCACGCTGGTCAGAGAAGCAGTAAAAAATCTTCAAGAGATTCATCGACTCATTCGACCGGCAATACTGAAATAATAAAAATTCTGAAAGACATTCAGGAAAAACAAGGAGAACAAGCCGCCAGACTTGTTACCTTAGAAAATCAATCATATTATGATGAAGAAGAATATGATGAGCAATATGAACTTGAAACTGACGAGGAATCTTATATTGATCCTAGCCAAAACCATCCTGGCCATAAACGGAAATTAGGTTCGTCACCCTCAAAGGATGATTATGGTGGTGATACCGAGAATAGGTTTTCATTAATGTCAAAACGTTTCAAACCGTCTGACTCTGTCGTTGACAAAAATGTTGATGTAGTACTGGCTAATAATGTAAATGAACTTTTCAAAAATGGTATGAGTGAGGACCAGTACAATGCTCTAACTAAGGATGAAGTTACAGCCCGTCCGAAAAATTGTGATGGTTTGGTACTGGTAAAAACAAACCAATTAGTATGGGACATTATGACACCAGAATCGAGGAGTTCTGATCGGAAAATGCAGGCCATTGAAAGTTCGGTTATCAAGTCTGCCATCATATTGAGTAAAGCAGTAGATTCTCTTGCAGATCTAGCCGATACTTCTAACTTGCCGAGTACAGCCATACCAGATGTTATAGATAAACTGAACGACAGTTTAGCCCTTTTGGGTCACTCAAACCGTCAAATCAACCTTACTAGAAGGGACTTCATAAAGGCTGATCTACGCCCAGAATTTTCGCACTTGTTGCACAGTCACAGCCTTTCACCACTTTTTTATTTGGAGATGATGTGCCTAAGTTAGCCAAAGAAATAGCCGACTGCAGTCGCATTGGCCAGAAATTACAGAACTATCCCCAAAGAAGTTCATTTTCAAGAGGTAGACCCTGGAGAGGTAGATCTAGAGGGCGATATGGAAGAGGCAGAGGTCGTGCCATGTATCCACAAGCACAAGCTAATGTCAAGTACTCTACAAAAAACTACAGGCGGGGCAGTATGCCCCAGAATCTGAGAAGCAAAAGTCAATAGACTCAACTAATAAGGTGAGTTTCTCGGCAGGGCGCTTGAAATATTTTTCCTCGGCATGGAAGGAAATAACTTCTGACCCTCATGTTCTAGATATAGTAAAACACTGTCACATTGAATTTATAGATGGGATCTCTCCAAATCAACATAACTTTAAATTTGAACCTAAATTTAACACTCGAGAGAGTGAAGCTATTGAATCAGAAATTTCTAATATGGTCAAAACTAAGGTTCTTATTGAGGTAACCCCTCAGTCAAATCAATTTCTTTCGCCAATTTTTGTAAGGCCTAAGAAAGATGGAGAGTTTCGCATGATTTTGAACTTAAAGAAACTCAATGAGTTTGTACCTTATCGCCATTTTAAAATGGATACATTCGAATCTACCCTTAACTTGGTCTCAAAAGATTGTTTTATGAGCACGATTGACATCCGACACGCATACTATTCTGTCAGTATAGCTGAGGAAGATCAGAGATATTTTCGTTTCCTATGGGGGGGGAAAATATTTCAGTATACATGCTTGCCAAATGGTTATTCTCTGGCGCCCCTACTATTTACTAAGCTTATGAAACCAGTTTATTCGTCGCTTAGAAACGCAGGCATTCTGTGCTCAGGATATATTGACGATAGTCTTTTGTTAGCAGAATCTGAAAATGAATGTAACCACAGTGTACAGACCACTGTTAATTTGGTAGAAAAGTTAGGTTTTATGGTTCATCCAAACAAGAGTGTTTTTCAACCATCAAAACAAGTTACGTTTCTAGGTAATGTGATTGATTCTAGTAGTATGACTGTTTTTCTTCCAGAGAACAAGAAAGCTTACATTGCAGATGAGTGTTTAAGAATTTCAAAGAAAGTTAAAGTTACTATTCGTGATTTGGCTCATGTTATTGGTCTTATCATATCAAGTTTTTCGGCCGTAGAATACGGGCCATTATTTTATCGAATTTTGGAGTCGAGTAAGGTACAGGCTCTAAGGGAAAAGCAAGGTAACTTTGATAATTTTGTTCTTATCACACATGATATGCAGTCTGAACTTGCTTGGTGGTATACAAATATACATAGTCAGATACGCCATATCTCGCATGGAAATCCAAATATCACAATAACAACAGACTCTTCCCTCCAAGGATGGGGAGCTGTTTTGGAATCTGTTGCTAAAACAGGGGGACAATGGACATGTTCAGAGAAACAGAATCATATCAATTATCTAGAAATGTTGGCTGTTTTATTTGCCCTAAAATCGTTTAAAACTCATTTGCAGCCGTTTATGCATGTGAAGATCTTGTGTGATAACACAACAGCAGTCAGCTATATCAACAATATGGGTGGCATGAAGTCTGCATCTTGTAACTTGGCAGCTAGGAAAATATGGTTTTGGTGTATAGACCATAATTTGTGGATTTCTGCCTCTCATATTGCAGGAAAATCAAACACTGATGCTGATCTCTGCTCAAGGGTTTTCAATGACCGCACTGAATGGAAATTGAAGCCATCAATATTTCAATCTATATGTCAAAAATTTGGCACTCCAACAATTGATCTCTTTGCTTCAAGGCTCAATAAACAAGTGTCTTGTTTTGCATCTTGGAGTCCAGACCCAGAATCTTTATTCGTGGATTCATTTACAGTTGATTGGAATCAATTTGAGTGTGTATATATTTTTCCTCCTTTCAGCCTATTGGGACGCTGTATCAAGAAGATACGAGAGGACAAAGCTACAGGCATAGTTATTGCCCCTCTATGGCCAACCCAAGTTTGGTTTGTCCATCTAATGGAACTACTTATTCATCCACCTCTACTGATTCCGAAAATGAAAGACTTGCTGACATTGACACACAAACAGAATCAGAGCCATCCTCTTCGACGAAAGTTGGTATTGATCGCTTGCCATGTCTCCGGAAATCATATAAAGAACAAGGTCTTTCTGAACAGTCTACAAGAATTCTCCTGGCTTCCTGGAAAACTGGGACTAAAAAACAATATTCCGTGTTCATTAAGAGATGGATACAATACTGTGGTAAAAAGAAGATTAGTATCATTCAATCATCTATAGCAGATGTTACAAGTTTTCTCACAGAACTTTTTGAAACTGGGTTAAGTTATAGCTCCCTAAACACAGCAAGGTCCGCATTATCAGCGATGGGAATCATTATTCAAGGACATTCTGTTGGAACTCATCCAGTTATATCAAAATTTATGAGGGGTGTGTTTAATTTGAGACCCTCGAAACCGCGACATATGGTGACATGGGATGTAGGTAAAGTTTTGCTTTACTTGAAGAAGCTTTCGCCAGTGAAGGACTTGAGTTTGAAAGACTTAACTCTGAAACTTACAATGCTAATTGCACTGACAAATGTGTTACGAGTACATGCTATTCATCTTTTATCTATAAAGAATATGGTTAAAACTAAATGTGAATTTTCTTTTGAACTCAGTGGTTTACAAAAACAGAGCAGACCATGTGCTAGTGTTAAATGTGTGTCAATGAAAGTTTACCCTCCAGATAGGAGGTTGTGTGTATATACTGCCATGAAAGAATATTTACAAAGAACAGTAGATATTCGTAAAAACGAGTTTTCATTATTTTTGAGCTTTATTAAACCCCATAAAAAAGTGTCCCGGGACACAGTGTCTAGATGGATTAAAACTGTGATGGAACGTTCTGATATAGACACCAATGTTTATGGTTCACATACAGTGAGGTCAGCCGTATGTTCTAAGGCTCATAAAAACTCTGTTCCTATTCAGGATATTCTGCATGCTGGTGGCTGGAGCAATGCAGGAACTTTTTTCAAATTTTATAAGAAGGATATAATATCTACTGCAAATTCTAGATTTGTGGATACAGTACTCAAAGAATAAACTAAAATTGCCAATCTTATTGTTTCTTTGTTACTATATGTATGTAATATGCCAAATATAAAGATTTCACCAGCTTTGAAGTCTCATTTATGACCGGAAGTGATATGACGAAATATAATTTGAAAAATTGACGAGACTTACCTTGGTACAGTTGAAGTCAATTTTAAATTATGTGAGTCATAGGACTCACTGTAGGGATTAAATGCCTCCCGCCCATCCCTACAATTTTGCCAGCTTGTGTAAGCTGTGCACATACAAGTTTATTTCATGATAAAATGGAATCCGAATCTACTAAAAAAAAAAAAAAAAAAAAATTTGTTCAATCTTATATATTTTTGTTACTTTAAAGACTGACAATCTGCGGCACGTGCTACACTCTCATTTAATCCCTACAGTGAGTCCTATGACTCACATAATTTAAAATTGACTTCAACTGTACCAAGGTAAGTCTCGTCAATTTTTCAAATTAGGCTTGGTAATTTGGTTAAGTTTGCGGAAATCTACGTAAAAGCGCTTACTACCATCCTTTTTATCTACGATAACGATTGGAAATGACCACGCCGATTGTGAGGGAGATATAACTCGTGCAGCTAACATGTCATCAATAGCTTTGTCTACAGTCTCAAGTTTGTTTAAAGGTGTGCGGTAAGGTAAGGTCGCAATTTAATTGGAGGGTGAGAACCTGTATCAATTTTCATTTGCACAGTATCAGTCTGCGTCAAGTCTAAATCAGATTTAGCAAATAAATCCTTATTCTGGCTCAAAAAATTTTCTATGTTTAATTTGTGTTCCTTGGGGACATTAATGTTGTCTAATACGTTGTCGGTATCTGGTACGCTTTGCATAGAAGAAGAAAATTCATTAACAGAGTTCACACTAGCTGATTCCACCTTTTCGATTTTACCAACTACGCAACCTTTACGGAGATAATAAGTTCGATTAGAGTTATTTGTAATTGCTACAGAAAATTTGTTATGCAATTTTGCTATATTAATACTATTATTAATTGATAAACCTGCTTGGTAACTTAGATAACCTTGATCGATGGAATTAATCTCGTACATTTTAGAGGGATGTAAATGTGGGGAATGTTTTACACGTGCGGCACATAAAACAGACTGTTGTGGTTTAATTTTTACCGGAGTAACTAAGCGAAGAATTGAAGAAATATGTGCATCTTGAACCAAAGGAATATATTCATTATTAACACTTAAGCAACCTAAATCATAATACAGACGGACACCTTGACTTGTCAACCAATCACGACCGAGAATAAAGTTTCTATTGATATTAGAAACAACATAAAATTTGTGTGTCAACAGACTTTGTCCTAACTTAAAGGAGAGACTAATAGCACCGTGTATAATTAAAGAACCCCACTAACGGACTGTAAACCTATATCGGCTTTTTCAATGATTGGTTTGTTTGATAATCGTTGATAAATCTTAAAATTAATTAAACTACAATCGGCTCCACTATCTATCAATGACCTATAACGTTGTTTATTTACTTTAATGACACAAGAACTCGGATTTTGAGATAAATTCAAAGTAAAAATTGGCATGTTATTCGAGTTGCTCTTTCCAATCGCTTCAACATGGAAAGAGCGTTTTAGTTTAAATGTCGGTCACGATCATACCTATCGTTTCTACGTCGAGAGAATGTTGGCTTGGAAAATCTTTGTCGCTGTGGTTTATTTGGACAGTTTCGGCTAATATGTCCAGGGGAATTACAATCCCAGCAAATAATTTTATTTGAGTGACCGTTAGATGAAAAATTTTGACGCCCATTATAATTATCACGAGGCTTGGAAAATGTTGAATTGGTATTTGAATAGGCATTTATATGACCATTGTCTCGTCGTTGTGTACAATCTCTCGTATTATGACCGAATCGATTACAAATAGAACATCGTCGATTAGGGCGTACATGATCGATTTCCATTGGCTCAATGTTTCGCATATATTCTGTTCCGCCATCGTAGACACAACTGCATCTTTATAAAGTTTGAGGGTTTTCTCGGATTAATTTTAATTTTAAGTAATCTTTGTTTATACCATTTGAAAATATCGAAATCAATTGGCGCTGAACGGGCGGTAATAACATTTCTTCTGTCGAATATGCTCTATTAGCGAGATTAATTAGACGTTCAGCATATATCTGTACCTTCTCGTCATCTTTTTGTTTGGCTGTTTGCAATACAGCTAAAGCGTATTGATTATCAGTTATCAAATCATACCGTGAAGCCAGTTCCCGCTTAACTTCAGTCCATGACGCGTTTGGATTTGCGGGTAAATATCGGGTTAAAAAATCACTAACTGGGCCCTGGCTAGCTTGGTAAGCTATATATTTAACTTTTTGGTCTGAAATTTCTGATAACAACGCATATTTTTCGATACTTTTTATCCAATTAAAATATTTACTTTGATCCCCAGAAAATGATTCGACTAAATGGTTTACCCCATGATGTTTCAAAGTAGTGGACAATCCTATCAATTCCCCAGTTAAATTCGAAAATAAAGTGTTTATATCCGGTTCCGTGGCCATGATATCTACTACAAAAGAAAGGACTCACCTTGTATATTCTGAAGAATTGTCCACCACTGTCGTCAAATCAATCTGGAAGCAGCATAACCACAGGTTCGTCGATCAACGGCACCACTTAAGAGTATGTAACATAACACATTACTCTTTTTATTAAACAGATGTTTTATTACTGCATAATATATATACATATGGTGGTTGGATCAGGAGATATCTAACTAAAGATGTTCTCCCTAGGTCACAGAAAACCCAACTGCCCTTTGACTCTCAAAACCAATCTTAAATAACGTAGTGTCATCTCTGCCGCCTGAATCCTGATTGGTTTACAGGTTACATAAACAATTAAACTGATTGGCTAACTCGTAGTCACATTGAGTTTGATTGACAGTAAGATAATCCAACATAAACTAATTACTAGAATTCGCACCTCTAAGCTCTAAAGCAACAACGTTAACACCTGTCATGGATTCTGACTGATACACGTTTGTACAAGGTATCACGTCTTACATAATATTATGTCTTAAGTCTACGACTGATACAGATAAAAGGCGTGCGGAATTTAGAAGTTTATACAATGCAGGTAATTAACAATGAAACTAATTATTAATGGTCACCCATTCTAACTTTAAACAATAGGTGTCAATATCTGTTGTGCTTAAATCTTATCTCATATAGGTACTCCGAGCATACAAGTGAGTACCACCTATCAGCTGTTACATAAGATTAAACTTGTAATTAATCTGTCTATTAGAATGTCAAAAATAAGGAAAGAATGAAAAAAATATAAAATACTGACATAGATTCAAATACAATATTAAATTTTAGGTCTCGAATGATATTGTATTACAAGAGATTGAATAATACGGGACTACAGTTTCAATGATATGATTTGGAGAAGATACAATAACATGATCAATTAAAGTTGAAGAAGAGTTGGTTACACGAGTAGGAGAGGAGATGATTTGAGTTAAATTATATAAATTTAATGTGTCCGTCCATGAGGGATTTTTATTGTGTGAAATGTCAATATTAGTGTCGCCAAATAAAATTATTTCATAGTCCTTAAACCACATAGAGTCCATCATTGATCTAAATTCATCTTGCCACTTCGAGTCAGATGCTGGATTTCTGTATAAACAACAGATTAACACTGGTTTTGTTCTCTTTAAGGTAATTTCAACCCAAATAGTTTCAAGATTATTTGGTTCCAAATCATCTCTTCTTTTACAATTAATGGTATCCCTAACATATAACAAAGTACCAGAGGAGCTAACTGAACACTGATCGCGTCTAATAGGTGAATGAAATCCAGGGAATGCAATGAATTCATCAGACACAGAATTTGTTAAGTGGGTTTCAGTGAACCCAAATATATCAAAGTTGTTAAGGAGTAGCTTAAGTTCAGGTACTTTGTTAGCAAAATGACATACATTAAGATGTCCCATATGAAGACCCTTTTTAGTCAAAAAATCATACATCATTAATAAATATAAATAAATACACAAGACGAGGTCAGCTACGTATATTATATAACACTAAAATAATGATTGTTACCTGCTAAACCAATAACCCTGGGGTGATCAATGCAGCATAAGTCTTTAACATTCCACTCAATACAAGATATCACATGTAATAATACGAGTATACACAGTTTAAAATCTATGAGTTTATCTATACATTGATCACATATCACAGAACACAAGGTAGCACATAGAGTAATATTTGGTATTTATGAGTACATGCATAGTACATATCACTGGACAACTGGGTAACACACATAGTGAAAGCACAGTCATTTGCTACTTAAACAAGGTTCTTTGTTGAGTTCGGGGGTGGGAAGTGGAATGGAAAGGGGAAGTTTGGCAGTAGAGGAAAAGCACCTGGTTGATACGCTGTAGGTAGGGGGGTATCCCATATTCTGATAGACAGGCAGTGGAAAAGTAAAGAAGGGGTTGCTCTGTTGTGCCGGCTTAATACTCAAGTTCTCTCTAGCTTTGTTTATGAAATTAATACGGTCATATCGTGGAAGTTGAGTCGCTAACTTGGCGGATCCCAGAGCATTTATGTGTAGTACTGTGGTAGAGTTGATCTTTAATTGTGTTGTTGCTGTTCATAAAAATAGATCTAGTATCAACAAAGCTGCATTGGTATTCATGGCATATTTTTGGGAGTTCGACATTCATCGTTTTAATGGAAATGTTGAATAACTCAGACATTGACAGATCTTGACGGAATGCGTTAGTGTCCATTCTTTTTAGGTTTCTGAACTTAATGTTCATAACAGGTTGAGCTGGCCAAGTAATGTCCAAAACACATGAAACAAGAAAGTGGTCTGAGATTTGTAAATCTAGCACATTGACATCCCTAATGCATCTTTCAGACTCATATGTTATTATCCAGTCCAGGGTATGACCTCTCTTGTGGGTTGGGGAGCAGACATGTTGAATGAAATTCTTAGTTTGGATCTTATTTTTTATCTTACTTGTGTCAAGGTTATCACTATCAAAGTGAAAATTGAAGTTGCCTAACAAGACAGGTCTTGCTGGTGCTGCCACCAAGTAATCAAGAGTGGAAGAGAATTCATCATGAAATAAAGCAGTTTTTAGATTATTTTTCTTTGAGATTCGAGTAGCAGTTTGAGCACATGTCAACAACAATTCGAGAAATTCAAACGATTTAGGATCCGGTACTTTCGAAGGACAGAGTTTTATCTGAAGAAAGTCACGATATATCACAGCTAGACCACCACTTCTAGAGGCACGGGGTTTGTGCTGAATTTTATAACCATTAGGTGTCATTGCTGCAACTTTTGATTCATCTCCTTCTGGCCTGAGCCAAGTTTCAGTCAAAACAAGAATGTCGATATCATGATCGATTATGGTTTCAAATATATCAATAGATTTATTACAAGCGGATTGAATGTTCAGGAGGCATAATTTCAAAAATTGAGGGGTCTTTTTCTTTAGGACCTTTGTTTCAGTTTTATTTGAGTTAGAGGTCTCAGATTGCACAATCTTAGTTGAGAATTGTTTGACTGTGTGAGTTGATTAAGATTATGTGTGAGTAAAGTTGAGTTGATGAACGACTTGAACATTAATCCACCCCTTTTCCCTCTTCTTGTCTTATGTTTTAATCCAAGGTCTACCAAGGTGTTGAATAGTTGGGTTGGTAATCTATAACCACCATTCACTGAGAAGTAGTAATAGTGTTATTTGTACGTTTAGGGCATATATATCTCCCGATTTTGGTAAATTTACATGAATATCGGTAAAATTCTAATTATCGCAACAAATCTAATACGAAGAGGCTAAAATCTGTAGATACGGTGTGTTAATTAACAGGGGTGAGAAATTGACTGAGTGGTGATATAATTATCGCGAGGGGTGAAAATCTTGCCGACGGTGCGTTTTCTGTGTTAATTAACGAACGGGTTAAAAACGACTGACACGGTGTGTCTTCTTTGTTTGGTGAGTTTTCTCGAAAGCGTGTTATAACTGCACCAAAGGTGTTTTATCAAGGACCAACAGGCTTTATCTGACGCGTAGGTGTTAAATCCAATTTTCAGTGCGATTTCTTGTTGGACTTTCTGTTTTACGCAGAATCGGTCTTTGTTAAGTGTAGGTCTTTATACATGGATTTATACGTGCTGTAGTTACATATTTTCGTTCTTATACGTATTTCATTTCTTGATGAATACTACGTGTTTTATACTTCGTACCATAGTCGGGCTGCAATTATTTATATATTTGTCTTTTTTGTGGGTTTAATTTGTTTATATATTATCGTGCGTACCACTGAAGTATAATTGCACGTTATTTACCGATATCCGGACCAGCCTCCATTGATATCAGACTAACGAATCTGTTTTCGAAAACCAAGTTTATAGATATAAAATCGAGCAATTAATGAAAAACTATTGGTTTCGTCATGTCTATATTTACTACACGCGGGCGTTTTAATGCATAAATGTATTGTTTCTTACCTGGGTTGTAAAAAGGACTATCCAAGAAAAATTTAATTTCCACATATATAACAAATGATAATTCACATATCAAATAACACTAATGCAAATAGGGACAAGCGCCGGCGGTGATATTGTCCATTGACCTTTGACTTAATATGGAAATAGAGGCTTTAC